TGTACAAACTGAATAATATGTATTTTCCCAAATCTGTATTTTGAAAACATCAAGATACCTCCAGCCGTAAATAAGCTTTATCAGCTAAAAAGCCTTGGTCTAACCGGCAACAGGTTCATCTCGTTCCCTGAGGAAATATTCCACATTGCATCACTAGAGACACTCTACCTGGGACAAGATAGAGGGACCAAATTAACAGAGTTACCAGAGAATATTAGCCAATTGCAGGTAAGAAAAAATACTAACCATACAAAACAGTGGTGGGTTTCAAAAAATTTTACTACCGGTTCTGTGGGTGTGGCTTGGTAGGGGTGGCATTGCTTGGTGAGCGTGGCTTGATGGGCATGGCAGGGGAAGGATACTGCAAAATCCCCATTTCCTCCCAATCAGCTGGGACTTGGGAGGCAGAGAATAGATGGGGACGGGGCCAGTCAGAATTTTTACTACCGGTTCTCCGAACTATTCAAAATATCTGCTACCGGTTCTCCAGAACTGGTCAGAACCTGCTGAAACCCACCTCTGATACAAACTGAAGTAAAGACATTTGCAATGTAAACAGCAGGCCTAGAAAACTGTTCATTGTTTATCTATATCAGCAACTTTAAGATATGTGGACCTGAACTCCCAGAATTCCCCAGCCATATTGGCTAGGGAATTCTGGGAGTTGAAGTCTACATATTTTAAAGTTGGTGAGTTTGAGAAACACTGATTCATGGCCTCTTGGACTTTTGGCTAAGATCAAGACAGAGGTGGGCGTCACATACTGTAACAACCGGTTCATCCAGAACCGAAAATTTGAGTGTGCACATGCGACATAGAAAAAAACGGGGATTATATAGGATGGGATAGGGCCAGGGAGGGTGGGCGGGCCCAGCCGCTGGTCAGAACTACCGGTTCACCCAAACCAGTCTAAACCAGCAGCAGCCCACCTCTGGATCAAGATTGTATCAAGTTTTCATCCGACTTGTTCTCCATGTTCTCCAATTCTCAGGTTATTGTTCACTGCAGCAATTAGAAAAAATAAAGGACACATATGCATACTTATTAGTCATTGTTTGCAGAAAGACAACATTCTGATGATGCCACTGAGGCTAAGCAGTCAGCAGGTTTTCACTGTTCAAAGTGAGCTGCACTCTTCTTCTTTTTTAAAAAAACAAAGCCTACCCTGATGAAGTTATAGGATGCTTTGGCTGCAAATGCTGTGCAGAATGGAGATTGGCATCAGTCAGGGGATTCTGTACAGGTAGTCCTCCACTTAATGGTCACAATTGAGCCCAACATTTCTGTTGCTAAGTAAGACAGTCGTTAAGTGAGGCTGTTGGTTTGAGCTCCAAGCTTGGCAATTTGGTTGCAAATGTTTCATTGAGGAGACATCTTCAGTGTGTTTTGAATTGTGCTCCTCTGTCAGAAGAAACTATCAAACAAGTCACTTGTTTGATAGTTTATTCTAACAGACAGCAAGGCAGCCACCTGGCAGGCATCAGAATGCCAGCTGATGGTGCTACTTTTCAACTGGCTTTCTAGGGAAGGAAAGGATTGCTGACTTATCTGAGAGGTTGCTTAGCAGGTAGACTCTAAGATACATTGGGGCAAAGGAATGGAGATGCAAGAATTCAGGAGCAAAACATCCTGAATAGTCAGTTCTGTGGAAAGGCCTGCAGATTCAATTTTGCCTTTTTTTCCCCCATTTAAAATTATATGTGGCCTCACATTACATTGTTCTGAAGATTACTTGATTACTTGAGTTTCTGGACAAATCAGTAGCCACATCTGGCCAAATGGACATGTGCATTTCCCCCTTAGAATTTAAAAGAACTATACATCGAAAACAACTTCTTGGAGTATCTTCCATCAAGCATAAGATTATTGAATAACCTGGAAATACTTGACGCTCATAACAACTTTCTTATAGAACTGCCTGACTCCATATGCCAACTACAAGGTAAAAAAGAAAAAGACATAGACAAAGAAAATTCTTGGCTTCTTTAGCCTACTTAGCTCATTACACCATTTCATATTTTTGTTTCTGATTTGTCTTTAGGTTTGCAGAAGCTATTACTCCATAACAACCAATTATTTCAAATCCCAGAGGACTTGGACAGCCTAGAAAAATTGCAGGTTCTATCGCTGGAAGGGAATCCTATGATGAACCCACCAGTGGAGGTGTTCAGTCAAGGGTTGCCAGCCATATGGGAATATTTACGACAGGAAAGAAAAACAAGAGAGACGGCCATAAAGGTATGACGTTGGGAGGACAGTCAGAAGTATACAAGAGAACAGGTTAAAATATCTAATGAAACGTTGTTCATCCCTAGTATCTTAAACAGTTGGAGCAACTTGACTTGGATCAAGAGTGTCTTTCCTGGAAAAAATGCTAAGATTCTTAATTCTTATGATCAAACTGGAACTGGATATGTCTAGTCTTATGAAAAGAAGGACTAGGGCTGACATGATAGCAGTGTTCCGATATCTCAGGGGCTGCCACAAAGAGGAGGGAGTCAAAGCATCTGAGGGCAGGACAAGAAGCAATGGGTGGAAACTAATCAAGGAGAGAAGCAACTTAGAACTAAGGAGAATTTTCCTGACAGAACAATTAATCAGTGAACAGCTTGCCTACAGAAATTGTAAATGGTCCAACACTGGAAGTTTTAAAGAAGAGATTAGATAACCATTTGTTTGAAGTGGTGTAGGGTTTCCTGCCTAAGCAGGGGGTTGGACTAGAAGTCCTCTAAGGTCCCTTTCAACTCTGATATTCTATTCTATTCTAATTACATATTGCACTCAGAATAGAATAGAATAGAATTCTTTATTGGCCAAGTGTGATTGGACACCCAAGGAATTTGTCTTGGTGCATACGCCCTCGGAGTACATAAAAGAAAAAATACATTTGTCAAGAATCATAAGGTACAACACTTAATGATTGTCATAGGGAAATAGTCAATATAAATGTTAAGGATACCAGCAACAAGGTTACAGTCATACAGTCATAAGTGGGAGGGGATGGGTGATAGGAATGATGAGAAGATTAATAGTAATGCAGACTTAGTAACTAGTTTGACAGTGTTGAGGGAATTATTTGTTTAGCAGAGTGATGGCGTTCAGGAAAAAACTGTTCTTGTGTCTAGTTGTTCTGGTGTGCAGTGCTCTATAGTGTCGTTTTGAGGGTAAGAGTTGAAAAAGTTTATGTCCAGGATGCAAGGGGTCTGTAAATATTTTCACAGTCCTCTTTTTGACTCGTACAGTATACAGGTCCTTAATAAGAATGTAACAGCATGATCATGTGTAAATAATTATATGCAATGGCATGTGGGAATGATTTGAAGAGATAGGAGGAAGAGATGCAGTTACTGGCATTGCAGGAAGTCCTCAGGTTATGACTCTAATGTGCATCATAATTGTAACACGTGACAGTCATAAACTGGGTCGGTTACCTGATCCATCTGATTTTACAGCCTTTTTTGCATTGGACATTAAGTAAATCACTGGTTATTAAGTGAATCCATGGTCATTAAGCAAATCAGTGGCTCGCTATGAGTGTGATTTTATTGAAAACCAGAAGTAAATGCTGGTTTCAGAAAAACTTTCATAAAATTCTATCTGGTTGCCAAGCAGTCATGTGACCGGTGTGGGGAAGGGGGTGACTGTTGGAACTTTTAATTCAGATCCTCTGGGTATGTCTGTCACACAGACTAAGCAACCAAGTCATAAGTTGAGGACTACCTGCAAAAGACAGCTGAGTCCACAAAAGGCATTCTGGGAGTTGAAGTCCACAAGTCTTAAAGTTGCTGTTCTAGGGACCAGCAACTTTCTTCTGGAAAAACTGAATGAATGTAATTTCTTCCTATTTGTAAGAAATTACACTTTAAAGATGTTTGGTAATTAGCTTCTTCTTCTTCTTTTTTTAAAAAGCAAGAATCCGGGGAATTGAATATGCTTACTGAAAAGTATGATTAAATCATCACCGCATCCTTGGAAATTATGATCAATATAAAAAGTATAATCTGATTAGTGTGGGATTTGGGGCAATAATGCTGAAAGAGGCAAATTGTACAGGTTTCATAATATTTATCATAAAGGAAACGTGGATTTAAATAAAGGGGCAGGATATTGAGTGATGTGGGGAAAAAATAGAAGAGTTGCATTCTCTGTAATATTTTATGTCTGAATCAATGAACAAACCCACCTTTAGTAAGGAGGAGCTCAGTATACCTTGTCCAGCTTCTGCAAAGGAACATAACAATTGCTAACCACATTGGGGTATTAATTATTCCCTCATTCCCTCAGGTCCAGGCTTGGTGGCGAGGCCTTAGGGTGCGCAAAGGGGTTGGAGCCTATTCAGAGATCCTGAAAATGATGAAGAAGGTCAAGAAAGAGAAGAAAGAGAAGAAAGGCAAGGAGAAAGAAAAACCCAAAGACAAGAAGAAATAATTATTTCTTGGGGCTGTACAGGGCCTTTGGAAAGCCTGCAAGAAAAAGAACAAGAGGAATAAACACAAACAAAAGAGCATTGTTTTTTTTTAAATTCCCTGTTTATCTTTAGAGGTAAATAAATTCTTTTTTTTTACTGGTCAAAGAACATTTCATGTGGTTGGGATGGGAAGCCTGAAGAGAGGTTGAACTGACTATCCAACTCATCAAAAGGTGAGGACTAGATATTAGATGTCTAATAACTAATCTGAAATCCTCAAATAAGTGTATGATCAAGCTGGCCACATGACCACAGAAATTGTGTTTGGACAACGCTGGCTTCCTCGGTCAAGAAATGGATAGCCACCATCCTCTAGAGCAGTGTTTCCCAAACTTGACCCTTTGAAGATGTATGGACTTCAACTCCCAGAATTCCTCAACCAGGCATACTGGTTGGGGAATTCTGGGAATTGAAGTCCATGCATCTTAAAATAGCCAAGTTTGGGAAACACTGCTCTAGAGCAGGGTTCTCCAACCTTGGCAACTAAGACTTGTGGACTTCAATTCCCAGAGTTCCTCAGCCAGCTGCTGGCTGAGGAACTCTGGGAGTTGAAGTCCACAAGTCTTAAAGTTGCCAAGGTTGGAGAAGCCTTCTCTAGAGTCAGACACAACTGACTAGGAAACTCTTATCTTAGATATTAGACGTAGTTCTCCATCTTTCCCATCTAACCTTTTGGCTGGCTAAGGAATTGTGGAAGTTGAACTCCACAAATCTTAAAGCTGCCAAGTCTGGAGACTCCCTGCTGTAGCATTTTAGCATTTGGAGAAAATGGGTATCAATCCACCAACTAACCCGTTGTATGCTACTCCAAAATTTTAGGCTCCATATCAAAGGTTACAATGGACATTTCGTTTCTTATTCAACCTGGAATCTTCAAGTAGCTTTTGCTGAGCTGCAGAGAGAAGCCAACCATTTAGTTCTAGGTCTGTGAACAGAAGTATCTGAGATAGGGCATCCAACAGCTTCCCAAGCCATTCCCCACAGCCACGCCGGGATGAAGGACGACAGCTAATATCCAATTCAGAAAGTTGCCCAAGAGTAGATAGGCTTATGCAGAAGGTCTCCCATCCTTGGTCTGAAATACTATTGTTATAGCTGAGGTCCAGGTTCTTTAGCTGAGCCAGATGCCCAGCCTGGATTATCAAAGCTGAAAGAAACAATCAAAGAAATTAGGGGCAACAAAGATGATTAGGGGACTGGAGACTAAAACTTATAAAGAACGGTTGTTAGAACTGGGTATGTCTAATATGATGAAAAGAAGGACTAGGGGTGACATGATAGCAGTGTTCCAATATCTAAGGGGGTGCCACAAAGAAGAGAGAGTCAAGCTATTCTCCAAAGCACCTGAGAGCAGGACAAGAAGCAATGGATGGAAACTAATCAAGGAGAGAAGCAACTTAGAACTAAGGAGAAGTTTCCTGACAGTTAGAACAATTAATCAGTGGAACAATTTGCCTCCAGAAGTTGTAAAAGCTCCAACACTGGAAGTTTTTAAGAACAGCTTGGATAACCATTTGTCTGAAATGGTAAAGGGTTTGCAGTCTAAGTAGGGGGTTGGACTAGAAGACCTCCAAGGTCCCTTCCAACTCGGTTATTCTAGTCTATTTTATTCTAAATGTAGATAATGGGTTTAAAAACATACAAGGTGTACTCTCAGGTTGGATTTTGCACATAACTATTTATTAAACTAATCTATTTCACAACATTAGGAGGATAAAATTGAGAGGGGAGACCCATGTGAGCTCCCTATTTATAAAAAATAAATATCAATGTCTTGTAACTTGCTGTTGCTAGGGAACTTTTTCCCAATCATGGAATTACCAGTGAAGAAGCCCTAGTCTTTTGTCATAGAATTCCTGTGTGCTTCACACACAAAAACTAAACATAAAGAGTTTAGGTCTATTACATTTTCTTTCCTTCCAAGAATGCCAAGGTCTCTTTTTCTAATTCTTTTTATTCTCTTCTTTTCTGCACATTTGCTTCCCCCAACCACCCTTCTTTCTTTATTCTGTATTAGTTTTATTGGCTTTTTATATTCTTTTTAAAACGTTTAGTACAGTTTATAATAATTACCTGCTCTCTTGCTGTCGGTGGCTGCCATTTTTAGTTACTATCAGGTCCCTTTCATGACTAAAGCGATTGACAGTTGGCTCCGAATATCAATCTTCTATAACAAACCTGTGCACTATAATGTCTCTTTTAACTGAAGACTTTTTGCTAGCTTTCTAAGTAATCCCCATCTTCCTAAACTAAATCTGGAAAACCACAGTCATTTTTACGTTGCTTATTCTAATGTTAATCCTTTTATTTTGAGTCTTTATCCAGGCTACTGGGAGTTCTGGGAACCAGTTTAGAAGAGACTAAATTGGGAAAGGTTGTTGCTAAGGATTAGTTCACAATAAAAAGGGAGCCATCTGAGACTATCCTCCAGATCAAACTCACGGTGATATTTAGGAGATATGTTTTACCCAACGAACAAACCAAAAGTGAAATGTAGTTTTTACAGAACAGGTGTTGAGGAATGGAAGGGGATGGATACCTACCCAAATCAATCATATCTTCATCCACCAAGCTGCAGCTGCTCACCCTTAACATTTGGATCTTGGAATCAGGGTTTAAAGCTTTCAGAATCAGCTTCAAGTTCCCACCAACACATTTATTCCAAGAAAGGTCTAGTAACTTCAGTTCAGGAAGATGAGAGACAGCATCAGCTGAAAAGGATAACAACAATCCTTTGTATATTCTCAAAGAAAGGCAGCCCTATGCATCCACATTAGATTTCATCTAAATATATAAAACTGATTTTCCAACATTTTATTCCTCCTGAACCTTCTTTTATTATTACTAAGGAACAAAACCCTTTTCAGGTAGTCCAGGGGTGTCAAACTCAAGTCATCATGTCATCATGTGACGTATTGTAACTTTTTCCCCCTTCGCTAAAACGGGCATGGCCGTGGCCAGCGCATGATGCATCTGGTCCGCGGGCCACAAGTTTGACACCGCTGAGGTAGTCCTTGACTTCCAACCAGTTGCTTAGCAACTGTTTAAAGTTACGTTGTATCTCGAACAAGGAAATTATGACATAATTCCAAAGTTCCAATGATCACCTCGCCCCTATAGTCACATGATCACACTTTGGCATTCAGCAACACGGCTGCATTTATGTCCATTTGCAGCATCCCACACTCATCTGATCACATTTTATGATGATTTTAGATTTACATGTACAATGTACAAATGGACTAAGGGCCCAATAAATTTTAAATTTATTTAAAAGACTTGGAAATTAATCCTAAAGAGTCCTTCCCAAAGGATTTTGTTTTGAATTTTAAAAATTGAACATTAGAAGGAACTAAAAGGAACGAAAGATTATGATTAAAGAAGAACACTCAAACTTGACTTCAAATTATAGAATGAAGCAAAATATTTTAACACTGGACATACTGAAGAATATTTTTTAATAATTGACCCAGAAATTCATTTTAAAAGTGTCTGCCTCTATAGGCAGACTATATGTGGAAGTGGAACAAATTCTACCAGAAAGAGGAGGAGGAAGACATAAGGAGTCAAAGACAGAATTTTAATGTGATCTTACCTATAGAAAGAAATGAATCATATTGCAAGGCACAATTGCTGAGGAGCACAGATGTCAGTTTTGGTAAAAATCGGAGTCTGCTAAGAAGATGATAGGTGGATATCCCTACATTTGTATTTGAGGATATATTCAGTTCCCGAAGATTTGACAAAAGAGGTATTATCTGGGCTGGAAAAAAGGTAACATACTAAAATTATATGTATATAATTTTATAATTATATACTTATATAAATATATATATATATATTTGAATCCATTAATAGAAAACCAGCTCCATGTATTGACCTGTGAATCTTTTTTCTACACTTTGCTTCCCTTACTTGCTTGAACACATTTATAAATTCTTTGAAAAATGGAATAATAGAAACAGCTTAAAAAGTAATAAGAAATGGAGCAGTATCAATCTTAGGAGATAATGCAACTTGACCATCATAGCCAATATTGAAGAGAGCACTCACTTGAAGAGTGTCTTCTGTTGAAGTAATGATCTCATTGTGTTAAAATATCTTTGACAACACATTAAAGATGATTTAATTGACTAGACTGGGATATTTATCTCACTTAGCCGACCAGACAAATCTATTTTTCTGCTGTAATTTTCAATAATGGCCCTGCTTTCAGCTACTGTACTGAGATATAAATTGCTTGAATTGATTTGTTAAAAGCCTGGGAGAATTGATGATTCCATTTTTGCATGGGCTGATAAGCACTGCTTCTCCCAGCTAAATGATTTTACAATTCATTATAAGTCATTTCCACATATTTCTTACATAAAACCAACATGTCCTCTTCTTTAATACAACACTGGTGAAGATTCAGGATTTCAAGGTTACTTAAACTGGCCAAATGACCAGCCAAAGACTGGAAAACTCCTCCAATCAATTTATTGCATGATACATCTAATATTCTCAATTCCGATAAATATTGGAAAGCAGCATCTGAAATAGGTAAGATTTACTAATTATATATTTTCTAATCATTACATGCACATAACATATTCATTTGTACAATAGATAAATCATATTTCATCCAAAAGGATATATACAATACCAAAAAAAAAAAGATTAACATAATATAACAATGCTGAATTTACACAGCCAAAATGATAAAAGCTGTTTAACGGATTGTTCACCATATTCACTAATTTATGTTATTTTTCTTGGACAGAAATGTGGCTGAAGCATAATCTAACATGTTTTGAATAGCTCAGAATTAAGATATTAGATTTTAGTTTCAATATTTTTCTATAAAACTTACTATACTAACTTACTACACTAAGAGGTTAAGCACATTTAAAATATTCTTAAGCAAAAATATATAACTTAATTTTTTGTTCATAACTTGCGTTTATTTCAAGATTTCATATTCTGAATGTTAACAAAGTTTACATTATTTCAAGCAATCAGATTTCAAATGCTGAATTTAGCAAGGTGATGCTTAAGATCTTAGCTAAACTATCATTTAAAAAAAAAACAGAAATCTAAAAATGCCTAAAATGTAAAATTCAATTCAATTATGAACAATTCAGCTCTAATTACAGTAATGAAACAACTCTGTATTTTAGCTTGATGGGTTAGATCCTAATTTTGTTAGTCATCCTTCAAATGAAATGACTATATGTGGGCTTAAGTCAAAATGTGATTTTGACTTCAAGCCCCGACTTTTTGTGCTTTGACTATAGTAATCTTCATCACCTCCCTCAACATGTAGTTTTCAATCTCCCCCAAAAAAGATTGGATACAAATTTGAAAAAAAAATCTCAGTTCCCAATCAACACCTGTATTTACCTAGGGAATGGAAGCCATCTTGTTCTAATCCACATGCATTCAGATTTAATACTTGCAACCTTGAGACAAACTGTAATTTCTGAGCAATATTTTTAAGGCTACATCCCAATTTTACATTGATTGACAAGTCCAGAATTTTGAGGCTGGGGATCCTACTTAGAAGCTCGGCTGAAAATAAGACAGATGCAGAGTAGTTAAGAACACTGGAAAACAGGATAGCAGACAGTTGCAAAGATTTTTTTTTTTTTAAAGTGTATTGCTTAGGAAATCACCCCAAACATTTTTGAACTACGATCGCTAAAGAAATATCAGAGAGACATTTTAATAAAGTTTCTGAAAATTCTTTCAATGGATTCCACGTGTCTGAGAAACTATATATACAATACTGGAACAGGAATGCTCTCTTGACCATTTGTGATTAACATCTGAGATCTGGGCTAGACAATCTTTAGGTTGTGCAGTCCCCAACCTCCAATCTCCAGATCTGCCCAGCAGTACATCCTCAGAATTCAGGAACAAATCACCAAGTATCATTTATAGCTACAAATGAAGGAAATAAAATGTGTTAAGTCTTGGACAGGCTCAGATAGGTCATCTTAACAAAGAAACCCCATAGGAAAAGCATCAGAAATCATTTGCTTGGCTTGGCTTATATGCTGCTTCAACCCTAAAGATTCTGAGTCCTTGTAAATAAGACAGATCAAATTTAAATATAAAAAGTAAGTTATATAACACAATAGCCATTAAGTCTTGAGATAACACCATTACCCCAGCTAGATCTTCAAGTGCTCCATTTGTAGGTACCTGAAAATGATTGATATGTATTCTAGGGAACAGACACATCCATTATTGGATAAATCACCCCTATCCACCATGTTGATTCTTTCATGATGCAGAATAAACAGCACATCCTAATTCCCATCTCTGTTCTACTGTTGTTACATATAAAAAGGATTAAAGCTAGAATAACCAATGGCCCCTCCTTTTAGGACATGGTAATCATCTACAGTATTTCCAGTGGCTTTGAAAAGTTCTGGGACATATAGATATGAATATAGACATAGATATTGTAAACAATGCCATTGTTCATGTTTCTTTCCCTGATTTTGCCTGCTTTTGTTTTACTTTTTAATTTTTTTTACAGTTAAATTTTTTTAAGTTTGCTGAAGTTCAATAATTAAATATCGAGCTACATTTTTGCTAGCTGAACTAAATGTTGTGTGAACTTGCTCTAATTTGGAAATAGAGATATAGTTGTATATACTGGACGCATCCTATATGCAAATTAAACTGAAAGTTATCCAGTTAACAATAATTTTCCAATACACATGGCCAGCCATGCTGTCTCCCAAATCTTCTGACTTCCAGGATAAAATGGACCAAGTCTTGTCTATTCATTGTCATGAACAATATAATGCACACAACAGAAGCAGGGATGATATACCCTATAAGCAGGGGTGAAATGCTCCCAGTTTGGACCAGATCGCCAGATCCAGTAGCGATGGTGGCAGGTGGTTTGGAGAACCGGTAGCAAAAATCCCTGCCCCCCCCACCTCCCATGCCCAGCTGAGCTGCACAATGATCAGAGGCTTTTTTTTTTTTTTACTTTTAAAAGCATTTTTTCTTCGGCTGAAAAAATACTTGTAAAAGTAAAAAAAAAGCCTCTGATGATCGCGCGGCTCAGCTGGGATTGTCAGAGCTTTTAAAAGCATTTTTTCTACAACCTCTTTGGCCGAAGAAAGCATTGTAGAAAAAATACTTTTAAAAGTAAAAGTAAAAGTAAAAAAGTTGGTTACGCCCACCCAGTCACATTAACCCCCCCTCCACCAAGCCACGCCCACAGAATCGGTTGTAACAAATTATACATTTCACCACTGCCTATAAGTGGAAACTGTAATAGGCAGTGAAAGCAGCCTTGGGGGACAGGAGGACGAGCCACAGCATAAACAACAGTCTGATAAGAGAAATCGAGAACCTGTCAGAACTGCTGGATTTCATCCCTGTATATAATTTTATGGTACTACTCCAAAAAAAAGTGGTGTCATTAGCCATCAAACCTCAAAAATACACTTTTCCCAAAAGGTTTCCACAATTTTGGCCACTACTGTAGTTATTTGGAACGTAAAGGCAGGGCAGGGAGGAAGCACTTTCAGATGAGCAAGATACTGTTGCGGTAACCTACAACAAAGGCAGTATTTAGTCCTCATGATTTTGGTTTCCTGTTTGGACCACTTAGAAGAGCTGGAAAATCATGAGTTCAATCCAACATTTGCTTTGAAGAATAAGCTTATAAAGTGAACACTCCAAAGACGTTAACATCTCTGTGCCACAGAATCTTACCTAGTGATTTGCCATCTTCCTGAGTAAGACAGCAATCTGTTACTTTTAATGTATGGAGTTTAGAGCCTTTGAGGATTTTGGAGGTTAGAAGGGAAAGGCTTCCTCCAACGCCAGGATTCCATGATAAATCTAGTATTTCAAGGTGAGAAATTCCTTCTAGTGCTTCTCCTGTAAAAAAAATAAATAATAATAAATAATCTGGGATTCCTTGTGCTGTTTCAGATATTGAACTGAATATACGAAAAATATCACACATGTACGAAACTATTGAAGATTTCAGTCATTGAGGGTGTGTGTGTGTGTGTGTGAGTGAATCTGTAAATTTCCCTCAATTGTTTTGCTGTTCTTTATTTCCATAGTAGCTTGAGAATGGATTTGAACTAATTTGTACTAATGTGTCTGTTTTTGCATACTTCTTTATACATTGCAAACTGTTTTGTCTAATCAAATGCCTATTTAGAATCCTACTTTCCTGAATATATGCATTGCTGTGCCATTACGTTCAGGAATATATGCATTTTTGTCTTTTTTTTTTTTACATAGGTTTCAATGTAAAGTGTAATATGCTATAGGGATATATTGGGGAAATGCATTTCAATATTGAGGCAACAATCTTAATTTTGAAGGATAATTGAGTTTCTTTTGGGGGTATTGGCTCAAAAATGCAAAATTAGAGAATCAATTATGAACAGAGTAAATTTCTCTGCCATCAGTAATCACTGAGGCAGCTTTTAGTGTTTTTTTCTTCTATCATTGCAGGGAACAAAAACCTTATCTGAAGAAAACAGAAGATACAAGTGATAGAGCATCTGCCTTGAAGCCAAGCCTTCCCTTCCCCTCAGGGCTTGACTGGTTCATGGAGATATGGAAGGAGCGGAATTTAGACTTCAGATCAGATCCAATATCTTCCCCTGCTTTAGCATCAGGAAGGGGCCAGGTATATGCTTAGAGACAATTCAAAGAATCAGCAGGTCTAGATTTTGCAATTTTACCCTAGTGATCTGTCTTTGGGGTCATCCATCAATCTCTTTAATAACATAGTTAATTGGGATGACTTATTGGATTCTAGTTCTACTAAACGGTACCTAAACACGCCACATCCTTGGTTGTGAGCCTGCAGCTGTTCAGCTGGAGGATTTTCAGCTCTTGCAGATGTTTGAACTGAAGGGCCAGAGGTTCTAGTGCTCCTCCTATGAAGTCATTCCAGGAAAGATCAATCTCTTCCAAATCCGGCAGCAGTGATATTACAGTAGCTAAAGGCAGCCAAGCAACAGAGAAAGATTGCTGACACACAGTTTCAACAAACATAATGAATGTTATTATTTCTCTTAAATCCAACTCCTGCATCTGAGTTTATTAGTTTATGGCTAACACTAAGCCACACCAATACAATCTACGTCTCTTCTACTGAATATACATGTAGTTAAATGTGCTCCTCTTTAAAACTGTTGCCGATTCTTTATTCCCTTTATTCCCTTCAACTTTATTTAGTTGAAAGAGCAATGTCACAGCTAACCAGAGTGAAGTAGGTTGTGCGAACAGCCCTCGGCTATATTTTCACACAATGATTCACACATAAGTGCTATGATGTAGCACTAAGAAAACAAGTCTGTTGAAGCCTTGAGCATATATATTTTCCTGAGGTTTTTTCCGTCTCCTCTCCAGCCACAAAAAGATGGAAAGCTTTACAGTACGTTTCTATTTAATGCTATTTAATGTTACAAACTGCAGATAGCTCTAACTATATCTTGCTCAAAGAAGCCTGCTTTGTAAATGGGAAATTAAAGCTGACTTATATTAATAAATTATCAAACAGTAAATCACAATGTCAAATTACTTATTACACAGTAATAATAAAAATAATAAGTAGACCTTTCTTTCTTTCTTTCTTTCTTTCTTTCTTTCGATTTACAACTCTCAACAGTGTTAATAGCAATAGCACTTAGACTTATATACTGCTTCAGTACTTTTACAGCCCTCTCTAAGCGGTTTACAGAGTCGGCATATTGCCCCCAACAATCTGGGTCCCCATTAAAAAAGAAACAGAGACAGAAAATTGTGAAAACCTAGCCTTACACCAATTCCCATAATGTAAACTACTATCTATTGTTTTGTGGAAATGCATCAGTTGAATGAATGAATGGTAATTCCTTATAACAGGTCTATTGGAGCAAAATATATGATAGTCTAAAACTGGGGTGTCAAACTCAAGGCCTGGGGGCCAGATCCGGACCGCGGGGTGCTTAGATCTGGCTCACAGGCCTGCCCTGGTGCCTCTGCCAATGAAAACTGATCTCAGGAGAGCCACACACAGCCCACCCAGGCTCTGTTTTTGGCCGCGACGGCCTCCTGCAGCCTCTCTCAGTGAAAACAGAGCCTGGGAGAGCCTATGCGCAGCCTCCCTAAACTCCGTTTCCGCTGGCAGAGGGCTGCAGGAGGCTATCGCGGTCAAAAATGGAGCCTTGATGAGTGACGCCAAGCTGGCCACACCCACCCTGGCCATGCCCCCTCCAGCCCCCCGAGGTCAAATGCAACCCTGATGTGGCCCTCAATGAAATTGAGTTTGACACCCCTGGTCTAAAGGAACCTTAAAGATGAGCAGATATTATGTGGAATAAATTTCTGTGGATGGAATTCATTAAATGCATTGGCGCTCGGTGGAAAGGAGGAATTGAAAAACTGAAAACAAAAGTCCATACAATGCAAGAAATATAGCCTGCTGGCGGGGGGAATTCTAGGAGTTGAAGACCACAGATCTTAAAGTTGCTGACCACTCTAAATTATTTAAAAAAGGTTTTTAGGAAAGGGCTTGCCTTGAAGTAAGAAAGGGGATTGACTGGAAAGCTAAAGAGAAAGAAGATTCCACAGAAGAAGAGCAGAATGAGATATTCCAATTTTTACAAATGCAAATATTATTGACAACGTTGATTCTTGAAGGGCCCCAGAGAAGATAATGGATGTGTGTGTATGTGTGTATGTGTGTGAAAAGAAGTATCACAGAAGTATACTCACTCAGCTCCATTATATCCACTGCATTCAACGTACAATTGTTTAAATCCAAATTCTTGTCAGAGGGCAATCTGCCAAATTTTTTCCAAAACTGCTGAACTCGCCAATGATAAGACATTGTTTCTGCTGGAGAAGTAGAAGTTAGCAAGTTATCTGGAGAACAAACTAGGAAGGTACCATTTTAGCATCTACCAATAAAGCCAAGCCAGGCAGATGAACCAACTAACCCTCTTTGTGAGGCCTCTAATTGACCTTGTTTGGAAATACAAAGATATCTTTGCCGAATGTAGTTGTTGAAAATGGTCCGATTTCTCCAACTATGAATACGAAAGACATCAGACTGGGAACTGGGAGGCTGTGAGTTCCAGTTCTGTCTTAGGCACAGAAGCAAGGTGGGTGGTTCTAAGCCAGGGATCTGCAACCTTAAATACTCAAAGAGCCATTTGGACCCATTTCCCACAGAAAAGAAAACACCGGGAGCCACAAAACCTAGGTGGGTGTGGCCAACTCGATGTCACTCACTTCTACCAGTCACATCACCCCCTAGCCATACCTACCCAGCCGGTCATTAGGGCAGAGAACCAGTTGTTAAAAAACAACGGGTACCACCTTTTAACATATCTCTCTCTCTCCCCTCCCTTCCTCCCTCTCTCCCCCCTCTCTCCCTCTCTCTCTGTATCTCTCTATGTCTCTCTTTCTCCCCTACTCTCTGTATCTCTCTATCTCTGCTCTGGCCGCTTCTCCATCCCCTGCGGTTGCCCTTACCTTCTCAGACCAGGTGAGGAGTGACTGGGAGGGGAGGGTGAGGGGCAGAGCCAGCCAGTGGTAGGATCACCTGACAGGGAACCACAGCAGAGGGTCCAAAGAGCCGCATGCGGCTCCGGAGCTGCAGATTGCTGACCCCTGTTCTAAGCAATCACTTTCCCTAGGTAACCCTAGGTAGAAGAAAGACAGGGAAGATCACTTCTAAAAAAAATTGCTAAGCAAACTGCAGAAAATTGTCCAGGAAGTTGCCAGGAATCAAGACTGACGTAAAAGCATGCCATTGGTTACCTTAGTTAACACACTAACAGTCAGACAAGTTTGTTGAGTGTAAATGTTGACACAGTTTTGCTAACTCATTTTAGTGCCTTTGGGAAAATGTGTCTGCCAAATATATCAAAGTATATTTGGTCAAATTACTTTTGTGTGCAACGTGTGAATTATTACAAAACCCATATTCTTCTCCTTGGGAAAAAAAAAGCTTAAATTGTTTGCTTATCTAGGTATTGGTTAATAGTTGTGTGATAAAGAGAGAATCTGTTGTGATCTACTTTGTTCTCATCTTTGTCTGACTCTGACCTCATGCTATTTCTTGTGAATGGTCCATAGCTTTCCCAGATAAGCAAGAGATGGCACCATAGAAGCATAAACAGAAATCAACACCATTATTGATTATTAGGCTGGCCTCTTGGAAGATCATACTCTTTTCTAAACTGCAATTTGCACATGCAACATTTGAGATCTAAATGGCTTTGGCTAAGATTATCATCAATTTTAAACTGTTCTTCTCGGTCTACTTAAATTGGACTCAATGTCCTTTTGATTCACTGAGAGAATGTCTAATACATTCAGTGCAGTGGTGAAATCCAAATTCGTTTGTTACTGGTTCTGTGGCCATGGCTTGATGGGCATGGTATGGCTTGGTGGGCGTGGCAGGGAAAGGATACTGCAAAATCTCTATTCCCACCCCACTTTAGGGGAAGGATACTGCAAAATCCCCATTCCCACCTCACTCCAGGGGAAGGATACTGCAAAATCCCCATTCCCACCCCACTCCTGGGGGAAGGATATTGCAAAATCTCCATTCCCATCCCACTCTGGGGCCAGCCAGAGGTGGTATTTGCCGGTTCTCCGAACTATTCAAAATTTCCGCTGTCAGTTCTCCGAACTGCTCAAAATTTCCGCTACCGGTTCTCCAGAACCTGTCAGAACCTGCTGGATTTCACCCCTGATTTCTAATTCACCTGAATTAGAGGGCAAATGGGTGTGGCACCTTCTTGGGACTGCTGAAAGAACTGTGTGGTACACAGTTCATATTCCTCCTCCTCTATTGAGAGAGGGCTGTTCAATTTTTATTTAGATGGCCTCTTTGACCTCTCTTAATGTCCCTACAGAAACAATTGGACCTATTGACTGTTGATTATTTTTGCAAGCTCTCTCACCTAATCTTAAAATGCACCTCTTAAAACATAAGAAGAAATAGAGTTCCGTGTTGGTCACCTACTGGTAAAGCCTTCAGTGTGAACTGCAATAAAGACCTAAGCGATAGGTCAAGATAGCTCATATCTTACTTGCTCTCATGCAGATATGGGTGCTCATGAGGCAGAGAAAATATTCACAGTCATGTCATCCAGTGGTGGGTTTCAACCAGTGTAACAACTGGTTCGCTTCGTGCATGCGCTTTGTGCACACGTCACACCACTGATGTCATCTTGCAAATGCAGCATCTTATGGTAAAGTTTTATGATGATGTCATTGCACACATTACCATTCAGCATCATCACGGTTTGCATCATGGATGCCCCTGAATGCAAATTATCTAGTGAGATCTACATAGGTGAAACAATTAGTCTATGCTTGAACAGAATTTGAAAAGGCAGCAAATAAATTTTGTTCTGTGTATAAGCTGGATGGAAGAAAAAATTCCAGTAGAAATCTGAACAAAATAGGAATTTGTTAAACATTAATGAAAGCATTTATGCTTAGCCTCTCTCCCTCTCTCTCTCTCCCTCTCTGTGATTTTTTTAGATCTTTTTAAACTCTAATTCTAGACATGATAGCTTTAATCTAGAAACATTATCAGCTGTATGTTATCTCTTAGATAAACATTGTGTAATCATTGGAACTTGTAATCTTTTCATCTCCCATCAGAAACAGTGTCCATATGCACAAAAATACACAAAAAGGAAGACATATTTTTAAAGTTTTTTTTTCTTTTAAAGTTAAACAACTTCACATAACACATTTTAAATCAAGCAACTTACCTTTGTCATCCATTGTAAAATTGTTTTCTGACTTGTAAATCAAATCAGCCTTGGCAATGGATTCTTGATCATTTTAAGTGCTTCACTTTGTTTAGTTCTTCTCGGACAATATCTGCTGTTAACATAACTTTCCTGAGAAAAATGGGTAAATTTGGGAGAATAATACCAAACTACTGTTATTCTAAAAATCTGTAGCAGACTTCAAAAACTTAGAGATGCTGCTCCAAGCAGATTTTTTTCTCAATTGGTTTTGGTTGTTTTCTGTTCCCCCAAATTTTGCCAAAGATTTAGTAAATAATTTTGCTTAGATATTTCATTAAATACCCTACTCTACTCTACTCTACTCTACTCTACTCTACTCTACTCTACTCTACTCTACCCTTCCTTCCTTCCTTCCTTCCTTCCCTTCTTTTCTGCAGTTCAAAAATTAAAAGGAGAATAATTTTGTAGACTTTGATACCACAGCTTCCTACATGTGACACTTTCCTGGTGTTGCGTTTTGTTTTCCAAGGGTTGAGTCAATTTATAGCTCAAATTACAATACTTCAGGAACAAGTTCAGTGTGTTCTCTAACCTTCTGCTCCCTCTAGTTTTAAGGATAAATTGATGCACTCTGAGAAAATTGTGGCACCAAATAGCTAAAAAAATTAATATCATAAGTAAAAGGAAGTGATCTCAGAAAAAAGTCTATTTATGCAGTGTTTTAATTTAAAAAGATCTTTGCAGACTTCATTGTGCTTGCATTTACTATTTTACTGAGCAAATGATTGTTATTTTCATTTTATAGATTTGAAACCAAACCTAAGAAATTAGTGCCTTGTCCAAAAGTAAAGATAACCCTGGCTAAATGAATTGATCAATTGATTCTTTTATTTATTTCTTGAATTCAATTTGGATGCCTCCTGACTTGTGCCAATTTATTGAACTACATTCAATTCCAAACTGCAACGCATCAATGGGAAGAGGATAAATCTCAGAAGAATTATTTAGGTCCACAGTATAATATTATTCAGCCACAAGACAGAATAGGAACCAAAGAGCAACATATCAAATTACTGATGAGTTGAATTCTGGAAAAGTACCGGGTAAGGTACTAAGGAAAGGTTTATGCTGCAAACCTTTGTGTTAATATTTTACATTTCCTGAATAATCTTTTTGTTATTGTAATTGCCTCAAAAATGGCTAACCCTGCAATACGAGTGTGTAGGAGTTAGCATATTGCAGTCTGCTACCAAGACAGGTGTTGTTGGGAAAATACAGCAATCTATCAAGGGTGTGAGCACTAAATGTGATAAAAAAAAAACGTTTCAAGAATTATGTAGTTGTAAACTGACAGGTTGGGTAAACACTGGCAAATGCTTTATTTGGTTTGCAAATATCCAGTATAGGTTTGATCACTTGCCACCCATTAGAATCCCTGAGAGTACATTAGGGAATACAAGCATTAAAACCATTCTACTGTAAATTCCAATAATTTCAAGCCAAATGTACTTTGGGGCAGGGGTGAAATCTACTTACCTTTCCAATTGGTTTGGAAGTGCATGCGCATGGCGCGTGCACTTGCTTTGCTTGCGCACACGTCATGTACACGCGTGGACCCTCTGCACATGCACAAACCCTTCTGCGCATGTGCAGAGGGTAAAAAACAGGTTACTTCCTAGTTACAACCAGGAAGTAATGATGACCGGGCAGGTGGGCGGAGCCTTGTGCCGCCATCGCTACCGGTTCTCCGAACCACCAGTCGCCATCACTACCGGTTCGGACCAGGAGCATTTCACCCCTGCTTTGGGGACAGAATTCCATTCCAGATAGGAGAAATAACTAGCAACAGAGAAGGCATCACTCTGGTCCCATAAGATTGCACTATTTTGCTGAAGAGACTTAAAGCACAACAACCCTGCCTGATTTTAGACAACAGGCAAAGACAACTGGGGACAGGTGATCCCATAAATTGCAAGCCCTAAGCCATGAAGGGATTCATAGGTGAAAACATGTATCTTTCTTTAACTGCACTCAGAAACCAATTGATATCCAACACAAGTCATAAAGTAGAGTCTATGGAGATTCTCAATCATCCAGGTCATGGTTGTTCCAAAGATGCATCTCCAAAATGCAACTGGACTTTCTTGGGGGGGACAGTTCTTGAAAACGTTTTGCTTCTCATCCAAGAAACTTCTTTAGTTTTGAAGTTCAGAACTGAAGAAGTTTCTTGAACGACAAACGAAACGTTTTCAAGGAAAAAAACCAGAGAAAGTTCAGTTGCCTTTTGGAAAATGACCTTTGGGTCATGCAGTAAAGGCATAACAATTTACGTCACTATATTCTGGACCGGCTATAGTTTCTGATTGGTCTGCAAGCGACAAGTCCCATTTTCAATAAATTGCAAAAGTTCAAAAAGAAGGTGATTAAAATACAGGTGACTAAGAGAAGAACTTGCTAATCCAGAAAGCAGTGCAATTGTGTGCATACCATCCGTACTAAATATATTCTTAGTCTCAATTATATGTCAGAAAGAGAAGGGATTAAGGTAATAGAAGGGAGACCAACCTTTTTCCGAGGACAATCTCTTTAGCTCCTTCCCACACATCTACAATTCAAAGATTAAAGTGGATTTTTGTACTTTGCCTCATCATGACTCTATAATCCTAAAGGAAAATATTCTAAGGGAATAAAACCATTAGAGGATTAATGCCACAAGTTGATTTGACAAAAAGGATTTGCAAACACTGAAATCCTATATTGCCTGCATTTAATCACAAAAAAATATTCTGAGGATTTTTATTTTCAATTTATTAATATTCTGGTCCATCTCAAGTGGTACATAACGATTCAGTTTCATATCAGTTTTAGGCTACTCCCTCTGTCTGAATTCTTCACTGCTGTAAATTGCAACTGAAACCAAATAAATTGGTGTATTATTTGATATGTATGCATCAAGGACGTAGACCTGATTCATACACATCACTTTCTCATCATGTTGTTTGCTTATGATTCAGAGTTATGCATAAACAAGCCAATTAGCCAACTGAGATCAGCTTGAACAAAGCCAAGACTGGTTCAGGCAGTTGAATATATCAAGAAAGTGTCTTTTCTTAAAGCAAAACACCTTGATCAGATAGAATCATACTAAGTCAGGCTTTAGAAATCAATGGATTTAGAAAGGAGAATAATCATTCAATGATTTAATTAAATTCAGTTAAAAATAACCTAATCTAAATTCTCTACATTTTTTTCAGTACCTTTGTAACTTCAAACGGTCATTTAATGAATGTTGTAAGTCAAGGACTACTGTATTCATTTTTTTTTTTTTTTGTTTCTATGTTCCTCAGAAAAAGGAGGAAGCCGAGAAGTAAAGAATTAGCATGCCAGGAAGCAGGAAAGGGAGAGCAAAATATGCTGGGTCACAGGACCAGATAGCGTAAAGCAGGTGTGTCCAACCCATGTCCTGTGGTCCACATGCAGCTCTGGATAGCTAGTAATGTGGCATGCACAAGATATTAAAAATAAAGGAAGTTCATTATTTGTAACCATTAACTATATTAGAGCCACAATGGCGCAGTGGTTAGAATGCAGTACTGCAGGCTACTTCTACTGACTGCTGGCTGCCTGCAATTTGGCAGATCAAATCTCACCAGGCTCAAGGTTGACTCAGCCTTCTGTCCTTCTGAGATCGGTAAAATGAGAACCCAGATTGTTGGGGCAAATATGCTTATTCTGTAAACTGCTTAGAGAGGGCTGTAAAAGAACTGTGAAGTCGTATGTAAGTCTAAGTGATATTGCTATTGTTATTATATATTTTATATGCAGCCCAAGACAATTCCTCCACTCATGGAGCCCAAGCAAGCCAAAAAGTTGGACAACCATGTTGTAAATATTATGTTTAGAACTGCTATGCAAGTTATAACCTGTGTAGTGCCAAGGATGATGCCCATTGCTCTTCTAGAAGAATCCACCAATGCCATCTACATTCTGTATTCATGTAGAGAAGGTGATTTAATCCTAAGGCATGTATTTCAGGCAAAGAACGATTGTTCCACCATGTTGATTTTATCCTATTCCAACCAGAACTTCATGAGCTACACAATGTCCATGGGTAGAAATCCATTCTATTGCAAATATTCCTCTTGCTGTCCCACAGGTGCTTCATCACAGATATTTTTAAAATAACTTTTCAATCATAATAAAAAAGAAATAACATGGCATGACCTCCTACTTCGAATCCTCAGAGATCCTACATACAGGTTCATTTAGTGACTGGTCAAAATTACAACAGCACTGAAAAGAAGTGACTTATGTCCATTTTTCACACTTACGACCATTGCAACATCCCCATGGTCACGTGATCAAAATTTGGATGCTTAGCAACTGGCATGTATTTATGATGGTTGCAGTGTCCTGGGGTCATATGGTCACCTTTTGTGACCTTCTGACAAGCCAAGTCAATGGAGAAGTCAGATTCACTTAACAACCATGTTACTAACTTAACAATTGCAATGATTCACTTAACAACTGTGGCTAGACAGCTCGTAAAATGTGGCAAAACTCACTTAACAAATATCTCACTTAACAATATAAATTTTGGGCTCAATTGTGGCCGTAAGTCGAGGACTACCTGTACAAGGATGGTATCAATACCTTTGAGAGACGAGTCTTTTCTGAATAAGTAAGTTTCTCATAATAGCCAGTTTGTGAGTGCCTACATCATTCACAGATTCTCAAAATTATTAATCTTAGATTTTGACATTCTGACGAATCTTTTTATATTTTTTCTCTTGAAGAGATTCCCCCAAATGCTTCAGAGAGCTGGTAACCAACAGACAATAAGACCTAAAGAGCAAAAAGCTGTAACCTTTCCGTTTCTGTTTGTTTTTCAGGGTACTTAACCAGATTTTAATCTTTCCTACTCAATAGGATAAGCATACTAGGGCATCAGACTTGTCATTTGGCAAATCACATTGTTTTTCTTTTTAAAGGGGGAAAATTTGTGCAAGAGAAATAACAGTCTAAGCCACTGCGATCATTCTTCCACAGCCAACTGCATAATTTCTGCAACAATTAATATTTTTCAATGAATGCATTAAGGGCTTTGATCGCTGTTAACAGCTTAACAGGTTAAATATCAAAATAGGTTTATCAGATCAGTGGGATGTTTGACTTATAATTACATTGTTTTGTTTCTGCTGGCTGAGGAGATGATGTGGGAAAAGAGCTTCTGATGTCAGAATCAAGAGGATTTAAAGGTAAGGATAGAGCGTAATCCAAATAAGCTGAGTTTGGGTTTATATCAAAGTCAATGTTCAGAATGTTTTGACTTTTCAATCCTGCCAACCAGAGTGAATGCACAGCTCCAGCATTTTTCTATCTATTTACACTTCTCTTGTTTCAAAACGAAGGCACTGACAACTGCTGTAAGTACATGCAGTCACCCATAATTTACATGTGGGACAGCCATGTAATAACAATGTCAGTAATTTTAACATAGTCTCAGGAAAGTGTCTATTTCACATCAGGGACTTTATAACAGAAAGGCATTTCAATCACATGAATCTTTGTTTGATTATTACAGTGTCTCTATTTATTAAACAAATTGATATAGCTTTGCATCTACCAGATGACCAACAGAAGGACTCTACTTCAGGAATATTTGTAGCTCTCATTTTAACTATATGTGTTATTTTTCATGATGTAAAGCAGCTTGATGAAATGTGAAAAGATGGGGAATGTAATTTAACACAAGCAAAGCACGTGTATAAATATTTTATTTCTGCTTGTTCTCTAGCTATCCTAATAGTTTAACTTTAATCTTTAAAGCTTAAACAATATTTTTGGAAACAAGCCTTTTTACAACGGAAAATAAAATATTTCAGACACCGTTGTCTGTTCTATACAACTTAATTTCTTCTAAACCTCTGTCTTTTTAGAAGGTTTTTGAATTCCCTGCAAAGAAGGATAAACTTGTTTCATTGCTCTTGTTTGTTTGTTTGTTTTTTTGGCTGATATTTATTTATTTGTCAAGTACGTATTAGATAATATATATAAGTATAAGCATGGATTGAATACATAAAATGAATACAAATAAAGGGAACATTAGGACAGGGACGGTAGGCACACTGGTGCTCTTATGCATGCCCCTTACAGACCTCTTAGGAATGGAGTGAGGTCAACAGTAGACAGTCTTAGGTTAAAATTTTTGAAACCACAGAGTCAGGTAGTGCATTCCAGGCATTGTTGCTGAAGTCATATTTTCTGCAATCGAGTTTGGAGCGGTTCACTTTAAGTTTGTATCTATTATGTGCTCCTGTATTGTTGTGGTTGAAGCTGAAGTAGTCATTGACAGGTAAGACATTGTAGCAGATAATTTTATGAGCTATGCTTAGGTCATACTGAAGGTGGCGTAGTTCTAAGGTTTCTAACCCCAGAATTTCAAGTCTGGTGGCATAAGGTATTTTGTTGCAAGCAGAGGGGTGAAGGACTCTTCTTGTGAAATATTTCTGGACACACTAAATTGTATTAATGTCTGATATGCAGTGCGGGTTCTAGACAGACGAGAATTGGTCTAGCAAATGTTTTGTATGCTCTGGTTAGTAGTGTAATATTACCAAAGAAGAAGCTACGCAAGATTAGGTTTACAACTCTTAATGCCTTTTTGGCGATGTTGTTACATGATGTTCATAAATGATATGAAAATATATATTTTATTTAGGCTATAGTGCTGAAGCCATCCAGCTGATAAGGGAAGTTTTAATAATTAAAATACAATTTTATTATTTTATTTTATTTCAAACTAATTTGAGTACTAATGCTAATGGGAAAATTGGGTATAAATAAATTAAATACATGTCTGCATGATGATTTGTTAATTGTAGTAGATGACCATTTTCCACCAGGCATTAAATATACCTAATTTATCTGGATTTCGTTCTAGCTATAGTGGTTTAAACACATTAACTCCAGCATGTAAAGGGGCGAGCAAATCCAGTTAGCGAGTCTAAAAAGGTTTGGTTCATTTTTGATGTATTTGGAGGTTGGGAGTAATTTAACAAAGGAATGGCAACATTTCACATCACAGAAGCCTTGCAATAATGATTCCCACCTTGTTTTGCCATTTTTTGTTGGAAATGTCTTACAGGTATGATTTGGCATCCATTTTTGGCTAGTTTTCTAGAGATCTGGATAAGTTCCCAGCAGGATCTTACCTCTAGATCCTTTTCCTACCACACATTTCTAAATTGTACAGTTCCCATTATACAACTTGCTGTGATGCATCTAAGGAAAACCAAAACCGAACTGTTTTAAATAAACCTTATATGTGCATGTGTTTGTGCGTGTGCACACATACACATCACACATGCATAACCTAATTATTTTCTGGGTTGCTGCTGAAATGAATTCTGAATCCATCTAATTTAATCTAATTTTGTAGGTTCAAACAACATACTGAAATATAAACTATTTTCATGAGTTCATAGAACACGCTAGGTTAAAAGGTAGCTGGCTTCTTTGCATGTTCAGTATGTTGTAAGTTTATTTTAAACTTTTACTTGCCTTAATTACTGCATTGTCAACCCCAAAGCATCTCTCTCTTTTTTTAGTGCTCTCTATCCAAAGAGGCAGAAGATAAAGAAGTCCAGTTTGCTTACATGATATTTTTAATACCAGTAGACCAAGAGAATTAAA